CCACTCATAGACTCCGCCATTGGCATATTTTTATTTATAAGGCCATACTAGGATTTCTTCTTTCGTATTTGTTGGCCTTTATAAAGAGAAAGTCCACTGGAGGATGCTCTCTTCATTGTGAGAACTTATTTTTACTTTCAGTGCCTAAAGTCCGATCTGAACTTGGAAAGAAATCTTTTCAGTTTTCTGCTCCATCTTCTTGGAACCAGTTGCAGAAATACATGAACCTAAAGGAGCTGGTGCCACTAAATGTTTTTAAGGCTGTTCTTACTGATTTGGACAAGGAATCATCTGTCTGTAAATGTTTTAACTGAGGAATCTTTTAATTAACATTTATGACAGAGTTAACTTTTTCTTTTTTGTTGTGAATGTTCTGTAACCTCTGTGTGCTGCTGCCAGTCTTGGCCGGGATTCTCTTGCAAAAGAGATTTTAATCTCAATGGAATTTTTCTGGTGAAATAAAGGTTAAATAAAATAAATAAAATAAAGGCCACGGAGAAGAGATGGGTTTTAAGAAGGGATTTAAAAACAGACAGGGAAGAGTCCTGTCTGATGTTCAAGGGAAGGTCATTCCACAGTTTAGGAGCTGCCACGGCAAAAGCACGGTCTCGTCTGAGCTTACGCTTTGTCTTTGGCACACTCAGAAGCAGCTGATCACATGACCTGAGGGATCGAGAGGGTGTGTATGGATGCAGCAACTCGGACAGATAGGGCGGGGCAAGTCCATTAAGCGCTTTAAAAGCAATTGGGAGTCTCAGTGGAGCTTCCAAAGACCATCACCTCAGTCTTTCCCTCAATGAACTTTAAGAAGTTCACAGCCATCCAGGCTTTGATGTCCACCAGACATGAAAACAGAGGGCGAGAGAGTTAGCATCCGTCTTCTTTAGCGGGACATATATCTGTATATCATCCGCGTAACAGTGAAAGGAGATCCCATATTTTCTAAAAATAGAGCCCAGAGGGAGCAGGTACAGCGTGAAGAGGAGGAGGCCCAAGACTGAGCCCTGTGGCGCTCCACACAAGAGAGGAGCAGAGGAGGACACGTGGTCACCAAGGCAGACACAGAAAGTATGCTCCGCTAAATAGGACCTAAACCAGTCCAGTGCTGCACTGCTGACACCCCCCGCCAACACCCCTCATTGTTTCATACGACAAAGTAAAATGTTATGGTCCACGGTGTCAAAAGCAGCTGATAAGTCTAAAAGCAGGAGGACAACACAGTCACCAGAGTCAGTTGCTAAAATGTCATAATATGTCATTGAAAACTTTTAAAAGGGCAGATTCTGTACTGTAAATATATTTAAAACCAGACTGTAAAACCTCTAGAATGTTCTGTTCTTTCAAATATGCTGATAGTTGGTTGAATACCACCTTCTTGAGAATTTTTAAAAGAAATGGCAGTTTGGAGATTGGCCTGTAGTTAGCAAGAACAGAGGGGTCCAGAGTGGGTTTCTTAATGAGAGGCTGGACAGCTGCATGTTTAAAATTTCCAGGGGCCACACCAGAGGACAGACTGCTGTTCAGAAGAGCAAGGACCGAAGGACCTACAGTGAGGAAAACCTCTTTGAATAAATGAGGAGGAATACCATGACTTGGTGAACCTGTTGGCTTTAAGTGACTAACCACCTCCCGCAGAGACGACAGAGTCACTGGTTCAAAGCTGTCAAAAACAGCCGAGCAAGGCACAGAGACTGAGTGGTCATGAGCAGAAGGTGAGATCTGGGCCCTGGTGGAACTGACTTTCTCAACAAAAAAAATTAGGAAGTTTTCACATGTAGCAGGTGAGGATTCAATACAGTTAATTTGGAGTGCATTAATAACAGAACCAGTTACTTTAAATAGAACTTGAGGCTTGTGACTGATACATTCACATTAGACAGGTATTTTCTTTTAGCATCTTTCACAGTTTTTTTGATAGTGACGTCAGCAGTCCTTTAATATTTTAAATGACACATGTAACATGTCTGCTTTCCACCTGCGCTCAGCTCTGCGACACACTCTCCTGGCCACTCTAGTGTTGTAGCCAACCACGTTTCGCAATTGATTTTAGGAGATCTGATTTTTAACGGAGACACAGAATCCAGAACCGTTGTGCAGGTGGAGTGAAACCATGAGCTGAGGGCCTCGTGTTGTTGTTCTCTGGGATGGCACAGTTCTGGTTAAAAGCAAACGAAAAGTGACCAACAGTGGAAGAGTTCAAAACTCGACAGAGTCGAGCTGTAACGTGGGATTTTGCTTTAGTACAGGATAGGTTGGTCTCAAATTTGAGCAACTCAAACCACCCACCCCCACATATGTACACCGTCTCCACCATAAGACATGTTAAAAGTTACCTGAACAGAAAATCTTGGCTGAATACACTACCTTCAGTTATGGAAACTCACAGGAGCTGAGAAGGACAAGGAAAGAGCTGGTTGCTGGTACTAAGAGGGCCAAGGCCATATATGCACAGAGGATCGAGGGTCAATTCACCTCACTAGACCCACGGAGCACGTGGAGGGGCGTTAAGTGTAAACCAAATTCTAAAGGAAGGAGCAAACAATGCCCCAAAGACCCATCTCTGCCGTATGCCCTCAACTGGTTCTATGCACGTTTTGAAGACCCGAACAGACCACCCAGCACCAGACTCACCTCACCACCAGATGGAGAGCATCTCAGCCTGACCTCAGCAGAAGTAAGGAGTACTTTCAGGAGGATTAATCCGCACAAGGCAACCGGCCCAGACAACATCCCAGGGAAAGTGTTGAAAGAATGTGCCGATCAGCTCTGTGAGGTGCTGGCAGACATCTTTAACACCTCACTTACCCTGGAGATAGTTCCCATCTGCCTGAAGACTGCCACCATCATCCCAGTCCCAAAACGCTCTACAGTGACTGGTCTGAATGACTATCGGCCAGTGGCCCTCACCCTAATAGTCGCTAAATGCTTTGAAAAACTGGTCAAGACCCATATCAAAACAACAATCAACATCAACGAGGACCCTCACCAGTATGCATACCGTGAGAACCGAACAACAGAGGATGCCATCTCCTCTGTAGTCCACACTGCGCTCAACCACCTGGAGCAGAAAGACTCTTATGTCCGTATGCTCTTTTAAGACTTCACATCTGCCTTCAACACCATGATCCCCCAAACCCTGATGGAAAAACTATTCATACTAGGACTAAGCTCCTCCATTTGCAACTGGGTACTAGACTTCTTAACAAACAGACCGCAGTCAGTGAGGATTCATAACTGCTCCTCCTCCACCATAACCCTGAGCACTGGCTCTCCTCAAGGATGTGTGTTAAGCCCTCTCCTGTTTACTCTGCTCATGTATGATTGTGCAGCTACCCATCCAGGCTGTCATATTGTAAAGTTTGCAGATGATACAGCAGTGGTGGGATGCATCATGAACAAAGACGAATCCAGCTACAGGCAGGAGGTGGAACACCTGGAGAGCGGATGCAAAGAAAATAACTTTCACATCCATGTGAAGAAGATGATCATGGACTTCAGAAGGAACAAACACACCTACACCCCCCTGAACATAGGAGGATCTGCGGTGGAAGTGGTCTCCAGCTACAAGTACTTGGGTGTACACATGAATGACAACCTCAGCTGGAGCAACAACACTTCTAGCCTGATCAAGAAAGCTCATCAGAGACTCTACTTCCTCAGGCGGTTGAGATGAGCTGGACTGGGAAGCTCAGTCCTCACCTCCTTCTGCAGGTGTGCAGTAGAGAGCATCCTGTGCTCCAGCATCAACGTGTGGCATGGAGGCTGCACAGCTGCAAAAAGAAAAGCTTTGCAGAGAGTGGTGAAGGCTGCACAGAAGTCTGTTGGAGTCAGCCTCGCCACCATCACAGACATTTACACCTCTAGATACAGGAAGAGGCCACCTGCATCATGAAAGACCCCAATCACCCAGCACACACACTTTTTGCCCTGCTCCCCTCAGGCAGGAGGTTGATGAGCATTAAGTGTAGAACCACTAGACTGAGGAACAGCTTCTACCCTGAGGCTGTTAGACTCATGAATCTCTAACCAGAATAATCACTGTGAAAAATCACATCATGTTGCTGCTGATCTGTTCCATGTTGTGTTCTTTCATGCTCATCTGCTCACACAGACTCATGCTCATGTTCGTGCTGCTGTTCGACGTAATGTTTTTATGCTATTAGTGCTTAGTGTATTTTTAGTTGATGTTTTTCTTAGCTCATATCTTAGATGTTTCTATTGTTTTTCTTTTACATTTTATTGTTGGATGTAACTGGGACCCTGTGTACATAATTTTGTTCCACCACATGTACTACGTGGTCCGAACGACAATAAAGAAACTCTGACTCTGACACACACACACTTAAAAAAAAATTGATACAGACAACCATTCATGCTCCGGGTACTCTGGTTTCCTCCCACAGACCAAGAACTTGCATGTTAGGCTGACTGATAACTCTAAATTGTCCCTTGATGTTTCACAACAAAAACGACGTCTGTTGTTGCAGATTCCTGATGTATCAAACTCTAGTGGTATATGAGACAGTGTTCATATTTAAACATGTCAGTATTTCTCAGATAATTAATGTTATTAACTTACTTTTTATTTATATGAATGTTTCTGTTCAGTGCCCTGAGATGACTTATGTTGTGACTTGGTGCTATATAATTACACTGAACTGAATATTTGATATAGAAAGTGAACAATACCCACTTTGTTTGAGCAACTTCCAAAACTTAGATTATTATTTTATTTCTTGAAAATGCAATTATTAATATTGTCTAGAGAAAGGGATGATTTTCAAATATTGTTTTCTCTTTTCCATACGTATCTAAACCTAGAAAATACTCAAATCAAATGGCACACACTTAATGCTTTTTAAGACAGCATATAAACCCTGAGCTACGTTCAAGTTTGCAAACGTTCAAATGTTAATGTCTGCTTGGACTTAGTGGCAAACATGTCAGTAAACAAGTGTTCACCAAGCTGTCCTCAGAGTAACGTATGGTGGAACACTTACGTGGTGGATACAAAAAGCCATACGTGATGTGCCTCTCTGCTCTGTAGTTGGTACAAGACTGGCTGAAGGCTGGAGGAACCCTGGCATCTGGTCTCACACAGGTGGACAGAAATTCTGGCAGAGAAGACACCTCTACCTGGAAGAACACACACACACACAGGTCTGCTGTTATTCATTAAGAAGAAGGTCATATGTTTGGCCAGCAGAGTGAGGTGAAAGCAAAGAAAATGTTCAGTCAGTAAAGAATCTATGATGAGGCCATGCAGGTATAAAAAGAAAAATGTAAAAAACATAAATAAATAAAAATAAAATTAAGCAGACCTTAGTTGTTTTTCTTTGAATGTAGACCTATCTTCAAACATAATTTTTAGCTGATGTTTTTCCTTAGTTCATATCTTAGATCTTATTACTGTTTTTCTGTTACATTTTATTGTGGGATGTAACTGAGACCCTGTGTACACAATCTCGTTCCACCACATGTACCACATGTGGTGCGAATAACAAAGAATCTCTGAATCTCTCTCTCTCTCTCTCTCTCTCTCTCTCTCTGAATCTCTGAAACATGGAGCATAGTATTTATCCAGTGTAGATTTAGTTAAAAAACAGCATCCTGCTCACAGAAGTGAGAGCTCAGCACTGAGATGAGTGATGCACCTCATCATACTACTCCTTTTTACACTGACAGGAGTTTGTCTCAGTTTCTCTAGCTGCTGCCAGAGGTGAGGTGTGGCAGCCTTAAACAGGTGTAAGAGTCTAAAGGCTCAGTTTCACTGAGGTGTCCTCGGACACTCTGAAGGAAGTGTCTCATTAAAATGAAACCTAGACATGAGGTGATCCCTGCTCTCCTTTGCTTTGCCAAAATGCATCTTCTCAATAACTATAGTTCAGAGTTAGATCAAAATTCTGTGTTTTGTTTAACACAAGAAAGGTTTTGTGCTGTAATTCTGAGTGGTCCTGAATGCAGCATTATCAGAGTCAGAGAGTCAGAGTCAGAGTTTCTTTATTGTCATTCGCACCTCATGTGGTACATGTGGTGGAGCGAAATTATGTACACAGGGTCCCAGTTACATCCAACAATAAAATGTATAAGAAAAACAGTAATAACATCTAAGATATGAACTAAGAAAAACATCAACTAAATATACACTAAGCACTCATAACATAAAACATTGAACATCAGCACAAACATGAACATGAGTCTGTGAGCAGATGTGCACGCATGAACACACCAACATTAAAACAGATCAGCAGCAACATATCAGCTGCTTATTATCCTGTCCACAGCTAGTGTGATGGGGAGCTCGTTGCTCATCCACAACTGAAAGGTAGCGACTACTGTAGGAGGAGAGATAGGACTTCTGGTCCGGGCACCCTTTAACAGGTATTTATGCTAACATAACCTGGACCGGCCTCATTCCAAACACACATAAATACATGAGTTCTTGTTGCAAACTTAATTGCTCTCCCTTGAAGAAAAACTACAAAGAATCAGGAAATTAAAATACAATTCTTTATTTATCTGGATTATTGAGCATGCATCAGGACAATTCTTTAACAGTTAGAATTATGACAATGGAAATTATGGCAAATATGGAATATGAATGAACAGCCAATGGTCTTATTTTAGAAAGTGAATGATGTAAATGCTGATGGTGTTCGGATTATTTTTGTTTTTTGCATTTCACATCTGTGACATCAACTCTCTGCTGGTGTATGACAGACAACAACTTTTGAATCTTCGTTTTTCTGTCACTGAAGTCGCTTATTTGGAACAATATGAGCGTACATCTAGACACCCCCCCCCCCCCTGCTGGCGGATGTGCCAGCTTACCTTCATTGCGCTCCTCACCTGCCTGCCCGAAGACATCGCTTCAGACGCAGGGGAAAACGTGCTGTCAGCTGGTGAAGCTGAAAGCTCTGCGCGCTGCATCTTCCTCTCCTGTGTGCCTGGACCAGTTAACCAATGTGAGTTGTCAGCTGGTGAGCAGCTCGGACCAACTTGGAGGGGCTGTTATTGAAAAACTGCGGCCATTAGCGTGCGCCAACTCCACCGCTGCTGGCTCCACTTCGGACAATATCCGGATGTGTTTGGTCAACGCAAGATCTGTTACCAACAAAACTTTTATCCTCAGGGATTACTTTCAAGAGCACGATTTGGACTTTCTGTGTATCACAGAGACTTGGATGTCTCCGGGTGAATCCAGCGCCTTGACGGAATTACTGCCACAGAACTGTCTGTATTTTAACGCCCCGCGGCCATCAGGCTGGCGCGGTAGTGGATTATTAACAATATTCAAATCAACTTTTGACTGTAAACAACTGCCCATCCCAGTTTCCCGCGCCAGCTTTGAGCTGAGCATCTTTGAACTCGGACATTCACCTCCGACGTTTTTTGCACTCATCTACCGCCCACATCGATCTAAGGATTTCATAAATGAGTTTTCTGAATTCTTGGCTGAAATCACACCAAAATATGAGCATGTTTGCATTACTGGGGACTTTAATTTGCACGTGTGCTGTCCTGAGAAGCTCTTGGTTAAGGACTTTTTAGATCTATTGGGCTCATTTAATTTAACTCAGCATGTAAACAGTCCCACCCAAGAGCGTGGACATACACTGGACCTTGTTTTAACTCATGATATGACTGTTAATAATCTTGTTATTGGTGATAATGTTTTCTCAGAGCACATGCCAGTCCAGTTTGAGTTCACCCTCCCCCATCTAACTCCTAAGTCGTGCATTCCTGCACGTAGGACTCGGACCATTAACCACTTCACTGCCGCATGTTTCACAGATGTTTATAACTCTGAAATGATAATTCAGGCCCCAGTGTTTCTCACCACCACTGACGAGCTGACATCCCAGTTCAACTCTGTCTGCTTAAAGACTATGGATCATGTTGCACCTGTTAAAACCAAAAAATCAAAAATCAAAGCAGAACCTTGGCTGAGTGACGTCACCAAGGCCGTTAGGCAGCAATGTAGGAGGGCGGAACGAAAGTGGAGGAAAGACAGGCTGCAGGTCTCTTTCCAGATACTTAAAGAGAGTTGGCGCCATTATCAGAAAGCAGTAAAAGCTGCTAAATCAAAATTCTTCTCTGATATAATTACCTCAAACTCTCACAACCCACGTGTCCTCTTCTCCACCCTAAACTCTGTTCTCCACCTCACTGAACCATCACCTGTGGAAGCCTCGACTGAGCTGTGCGACAACTTCTTACATTTCTTTCTGGAAAAAATTGCGACCACCAGGGCTCTCATTTCCTCTCCAACTCATGACCCATCCATCCCACCTCAATCTGTAGCTCCTTTTGACCATTTTGAACCCATCACTCTATCTTCTCTAGAGCAGGTCATGTGCAGCTTGAAACCTTCTGGCTCCCCCTTTGATGTGGTCCCACCTCGACTACTAAAGGAGGTGTTTCCAACTCTACGTCCGTCCATTCTTGATATAGTAAACAGTAGTTTATCCACTGGCGTGGTGCCAAAATACTTTAAACATGCTGCCGTCCAGCCTCTCCTGAAAAAACGTTGGTTATGTATTGTAACCCCAGAATCTATGAGTATAAGCGTAGCCCTTTAAGAGCTGTCGCTTAGTGGGTTTATCCCGTTATGCGGAGCATTACACTGAAAAATTTAGTCCACACCCACCTGCTGTGTGGGCCCCACCTGGTCCGTATAAATTACGTTAAGAGCAGGAAATCGGCTCCCAGAAATAGCTTTTTCTTCAGCCATTTAGGAGCCAGTGAGGCCCGACGCTTAAAGGGCTATGCCTATGCTCATAGAATCTGGGGTTACAGTACGTAACCAACGTTCTATTTCGTATAGGCTTCACCCTTTAAGAGCTGTCGCTTAGTGGGTTAAGGGCGAAGCAGATGTTGTCCTCGCCTCACTGGGTCCATTCGAACACCGTATGAAGCAGAAGCTTGCCCAAAAAACGTCTAGTCACTCAGCTCCCATGTGCGTAATTACGTATTGCGTAATTATGTGTGCCATGCACAGACGCATGTTTTGTAACTATGCATTCTGAATGCATGAACGCCCCGGAAAACTTCAACGGGGAGGGAAAAAAGCTGAAAAGAGCCATGAACCAAAAGGTTTACGGCTGAACCGTATGAACAGATTAATAATAACAGGAGAGTTGATTATTAATCAAATGAACTGATAGGTAACAATAGTCGTGAACTGATTAGTGACAATAGAACCAAAATAACAATCACAACTTGTGACTGATAACATCTCACACTATAATGCATGCAGACAAATGTGAGAAAAACAGAGTTCCATGAAACAACAATATTCATTCTGTAAACACTAAGGACAGAATGTGTCATGGAACGAGCCGTCACATCACCTAGATAAAAGCGAATAAATGAGCAGGGTGTTGACCACATGGCCGCTGTGCAAAATGTCCTACATTGACATACCATTATGCAAAGCAGTCGAAGATGCGATACCCCTGGTCGAGTGTGCTCTGAGGTTGACAGGAGGCTCTAAATCTGATGCTCGGTAGGCTTCAGAAATGGCCTCACACAGCCAGTGTGACAAGTGCTGGGTGGATAACGGGTGACCTGCAGATGCATCTCTATAATGCACAAACAAATGTTGATGCATTGCAGCTGTGTACGCTATGTAACACGTCAATGCCCGCACAGGACAGAGGAGATGAAAAGACGCTACTTCTTCTGATCTGTGTGTGTGTGTGTGTGGGGGGGGGGGGGGGACCCCTCCAATGATATCGCTCTTGATTTAAAAGAGCTTGTGATGTTTTAGGCATAAAAGTTGGGTTGGTCTAAAATCAGCTGAGCTGCCGTCAGCCTGAATTCTGAGACATGACGAAGCGACAGAGAGGGCAGATAAATCACTCACTCTTAGCGGATGTTAAAGCCAGCAGCAGGGCTGTTTAAAGAGACAAGAATTTAAGTGGAACCTGATCCAAAGACTCAAATGGAGCTTTGATCAGGACCTGCAGGACCAGTATTAAATCCCACTGTGGAACAAGTGGGTGTGAAACAGGCCTGCGTCTCTGTACACCTTTTAGAAAACGCTTCATTAGGGGATGATTAAAACCTGTTCTGTCTCAGAAACCTTCGTGTCAGGAAGAGATGGCTGCAGCGTACGTTTTAATCGTGCTGGA